ACAGGGTGAAGGAGGGTGTGTGTGTATGTGTAGCGAAAGGGGACAGTTGAGAAGGGGTAACACTGAGTGCTCAGTGCCTGCTTTCACTTACTTATGTGTGGAAGGAGGAGGATGATCAGCACCTCCTGATTGTGGCTTTGCCCTGAACTCAAAAAGTCCCTTGATGTTTACATCAGGTGATGTAAAGTGATAAGGCTTTTACTAATAATGGCTTTTAGTTAAATGATGCTTAGGTGCCAGGCACTGTTCGAGCTACCTTAATAACTCCTTTGCTCCATGAGAAGTAACGCTTTGGGCTAGGTACTATTATTTCCACCACTTTATAGGTAAGAAAACAGAGGCACAGGGAGGTTAAATGGCCTGTCAAAGGTCTTAAAACGAGTAAGTTGCAGAACTGAGAGTCAAATCCAGGCAGGCTGGCTCCAGAGTCTGTATCCTCATGCTGCACACTCTGTAGCCTCTCAGGAAGCTGGAGATGGAGGACAGTCTTTTATCAGAAACTTCATACCGTGAGGGGAATGTGTTCTTTGCAAATGAGGGAAAGTGTTCCCACATAAGAGGAATTACTGTATGGAAAAAAATCAGCAGTGTAATAGTTGTTCAGAAACCCTAGAATTTGCATTTGGTAGCTGGGTGCAGATGGTGAGGGTAGCACAGATGATGTTCAGTTTGAGGAAGTGAGGGTGAGGCCCAGGCTCTGCCCTGACAAGAGAGCCCTGGACTGAGTCCACAAGACTTAAGCTCCCTGCTGCTTGCCCCAGAGCTGGGCTGGTTCTCCCTAAGGGCTCACCCCTTCCTCCCTTCTCATCCTCCAGCACCTCGGTCACCACCAGAGTACTAAATCTGCTTGGGTCATCCTTTCCTTCAATAAAATGTTTATTAAACACTTAATGCGATTTTCACAGTAGTGGGTTTACAAGGATGAATATGACAAGTCCCTACCTTGAATTTTACCTAGAAAGCTGTGTATGACTTCAGAAGACCCTCCTTATCCCTCCACCCCACCCAACTCTCCATCTTGCAATGATTTTAAGAGGGGTTAAAATAATTTCACAGTGAGAAAGCTGAAAATAGCAATGCCTTGGTTTTGGGGCTCCTTAGTTAGTGTGAATGAGTTTGTTAAGAGTTTGGGTTTGGCGGGCAGCCAGTGTCAGGATCTGCCTATTGTCAGTCCCTCCCTTTTATTCAGAAGGAAGTGTGGAGACCTGAAGCAAGGGGCAGAGATACAGGATGAGAAGGCTGAGCAGACAAGGCAGACTTTGCCCAAGTGACCTCAGCCTAGTTACCTTTTGTCCAGACTTGAAACTCCTTGAGATTTTTTTCCCCAGAATGACATGAACTCTAGTTATTTTCACATGGGCAGGGAGAAGTAGAAGCTGGGTACTGAATACTTGGTGATGAATCTCTAAAAACAGGCATTGGAAGGTTTATATATTTTTTTAAAAAAAAACAATGCTGACTGTGTATAAGGGAACATTTTTCCTTATTGCTTGTTAGGTTATCATGGTTTAGACGAATGCCCCAAGGTTTGTTTGTGACATAAGCCCTCACTGTATGGGGAATTCCCTTCTCCCTTCTCTCCAATTAAAGGTTTATTGTATTAGATCAATCTATATTCCATTTACATCTTTGTGGGATTGCCTTTTTTTTGGGGGGGGGGCAGCTGGCCAGTACGGGGATCCGAGCTGTTATGACACTGAGCTCTAACCAATTGAGCTAACTGGCCAGCCCTGCAACTGCTATTTTTAAGAATCAGGGATTTTATAAACTAATAGCTTTCAGGAAGCAAGCAAACGTTTCTGTAATACAACTAATTTATTATAAATCTGAGTTTGAATGCAACCAGTGCTGTTTCTTAGAGTTACAAAATCTTTTTCTCTATGTTTTGGTTAGTGTAAGACTTAGGAAATTGAAAAAGAGACATGGCATTATTAATTTATTTACTTAATTTTGAAATACCTATTGTATAGTATGTCCAAAATATTAGGAAAAGTAGGAAATATGTTGGAGCAGTTTGCATTTATTTGGGGAGCCATATACACAAGTGTAAACTTATGATTGAAGTAGCATAGAAGAGCAAATGTTTTTGTGGAACTTTACAGTTTATATAAAGTGTTTCCATATTTATTTGAACTGAGTAGGGCAAGCATTTTTATCCTCACTTTACAGATGAAGAAGCAGGAAACTGCTCAGTGTGAAACAACTAGTCAGTAGCAGAACTGGCAGCCAAACCCCCTCTCTTATTATTCCCTGTCATCTTTCCAGTGTGGACAGTGGAAGGGGGAGGTTAATTAGGGTGGGAAGTAAGTTTGAAGCAAGTCTTGGAGGAAATAATGCCTATGAGGTCAGAGGCAATGCGCCGGCTTCATCAGACGTAGAAGCATTGTCAGTCCTCGGACTGTTCCCAAGGCTCACCCTGTTCCTGAATTGCCCGCCTCCTTCACCCTCACCCTCCAGCTGGAGGTGTGTTAATAGAGTGAGGTGTCTGTTGTGCATATTACTGGATATTTAACAAGCTCTTGGCTTTTTGTTTGTTTTTGAGGCCTAGCGCCAAGGCCACGTCTAAGTGGTTGATATGTGAACAAATGGGCTGCCACGTTGGAGTGGGGGCTTTTTTTTTTTTTTTTTTTCCTTTTTTGTCTTTTTTACTGACCGGCAACGGGATCGCAACCCTCGGTCTTGCGCCCGCACCTTGCTCAACCAGTGAGCGGAACCGGTCTCCACATGGGATCCGAACCTTCGGCGGGAACGCCGCACTCTCCAGTGCGCCACCGGGCCGGCCCGAGTGGGGGCTTTTTATTGTAGAGGCTTGCAGGGTAGAAAGCAGGTGAGAGCAGCTGTGATGATTATAGACAGTGATAGAGGGACAGGGACATGGGCGGAGCTATGGACCTTCTCTGTGTTCCATGCAGATAATTCCATTAGAGCTTTTAGCACAATTTACTGATCTTTCCAGCTCCAGAGACCTGGTATGTAGAAAGTGCTCAGTATTGATTAAATGATATATTTGCTGCCTTTTTGAAAAGATATAAGTGGGATTTTTTCCCCTTCTTAGTCTGCCTTTCTTAAATGTGAAACTACTTTTTAAAGAAGTTTCAAGACAGTCTCAGCATTTACATTTTGAATATTGTGAATGCAAAGGTATAGTTAGGCCATCCTTTAGTTTGATTTCATTAGTCCTGAGTTAATATATTGTGGTTATTGCCATTACTTTTCAGAGACATTCCCTTCAAGGCTATTTCTCTGAAGGATTGAAGATAAAAACAACTGAACTTAATTAGCTAATTAACATTTTAAAGGACACTAAAGGTCACAGTTCAGGTATTGTAATTAATTTACTCAGCGATTCAAACCACTCTTCTTTCCTAATTCTTTTTAGTGTGCTTCAGTATATGTAGGTCTTTCTCTCTATCTGTGATTACAGCTCTCTCTCTTTCAGCTCCTTTTGTCATGTGTGGGTTCGATATGCCAGTGTCTTTTCTGCAACTGTATTCAGCACTGGATTTGGACAAGGCCTGGGCCCAGTGGTGCCAGGAGCACAAAGATGAATAAGAGCCATCCCCTCCTGAGTCACCACCTGTGGGGACCATGATGAAGGGACTTCACTAAGATTCAGATCAGAACAGACCATGCTGGGGGGAGTCAGGATGCAGGGAGTCTTGATGGAATTGGGATCTAGAGGAGGGCCTTGAAGGAGTAGGAGGAAGGGTAGGCTTATGCTGCCCGGTCCTGTTCTAAGTACTACATGTTTATTGGTTTTTTTCTTATTTTAAAAAGATAGATTTTATTTTTTTGAGTCGTTTTAGGTTTACAACAAAATCGAAAGAATAGAGAGTTCCTATCCCTTCTCCCCTGGCCTCCCCCACTATCAAAATCCCTTATAGAGGGGTACATATGTTACAGTGAGTGCACCCACATTGACACATCATCATCACTCAATTCTGTAGTTTACATTAGGGTTCACTCTTGGTGCTGTACATCCTATGGATTTTGACAAATGTATAATGACATGTATATACCATTGTAGTATCATACAGAATAGATTTACTGCCCTAAAAGTCCTCTGTGCTCCACCTGTTCATCCCTTTCTCACTCCTAACCCCTGGCAACTACTGATCTTTTTACTGTCTCCATCCGATGTCTTTTTGACTTTTTTTTTTTTAAAACAAGTCCTAATCTCAAATATTCAGTTATAAGAAGTTATAAGAAATCCAGTGGAGTTTCAGTCTCCATAAATCATGTTTACTTCTTAAAAAATGGGTTCTCCTTTGTGTCACCATGGTTTTTTTTTTTTCCTTTCTGGGAACCTGCCTGGCTTTTGGATTGTGTGGGGGGGGGGCATGTGTTTAAGATAGGGTACAAGTATCTTGTCATTCCCACTTTCTGGCTAGATAGCTTTGGGAGAATTTTTTTTTCCCTTCACAACTTGGCAGTGTAATTTTGTGCGGAGCAGCAATTGGTTTGACTAAACATCCCTGGCATGGGTGGTATCAGACCACCTCAGAAGGGAATTGGAGATGAGGCTGGTCTGATTTCTAGCTTCTTTTTGGTATTCAGGACAGCCCTTTTGGAGATGCCACCAGATGTAATTAATTAGTTAAGAAGATTCTTCATATTATTTCCTAGTTCACTGGAGTAATTCATTTTTAAAGGAACCCTGGAACTCTCTGTCATTACACCCGCATCTTAGAAAGACCTCATACCACACTGTCACAGGTACTGACACACAGCTAATTGCACTAAGAAGGATCTGGACTTTTTGAAACTCATTGGTATGTTTTTCAGCAGATAACAAATATCAGAAAATAAATACCCTTGACACAGCATCATACCAGAAGAAAGCGGTAAATATTTTCTAATCCTGTCTGTTGTTTATTCAAGTGGTGGAAATCTTGACACCAAGAAAATGTGAAGGATAGCTTTGCTGTCTGAATTGGTGTCAGCTGGAGTCCCAGGCTGCGGGTGCATTGAATCTCTGTCTTTTTTTGTTCCTCCCCCAGAAGCCCCTTGTGCCACGCCCCTGATCTGCAGCTTCGGGAGGCCGGTGGACCTGGAGAAGGACGACTACCAGAAGGTGGTGTGTAACAACGAGCACTGCCCCTGCAGCACCTGGATGCACCTACAGTGTTTCTATGAGTGGGAGAGCAGCATCCTGGTGCAGTTTAACTGCATCGGCCGGGCTCGCAGCTGGAACGAGAAGCAGTGCCGCCAGAACATGTGGACAAAGAAGGGCTACGACCTGGCCTTCCGTTTCTGCTCCTGTCGCTGTGGGCAGGGCCACTTGAAGAAGGATACGGACTGGTACCAGGTGAAGCGCATGCAGGACGAGAAAAAGAAGAAGTCTGGGTCACAGAAGAATGCAGGGAGGCCCCCGGGGGAGGCTGTGGAGGAGACAAAAAAAGGCAGGCCCCCGAACAAGCCCCAGAAAGGCCTGAACCACGATCTCCCCCGACGGCATTCCATGGACAGGCAGAACTCTCAGGAGAAAGCGGTGGGTGCCGTGGCCTACGTCGCCCGCTCCCCGTGCGGCTCCCCTGGCCAGTCCCCACCCACAGGCTACTCCATCCTCTCCCCTGCCCACTTCAGTGGTCCCCGCTCCTCGAGATACCTTGGGGAATTCTTAAAGAACGCTATCCATCTGGAGCCTCACAAAAAGGCCATGGCTGGCGGCCACGTGTTCAGAAACGCCCACTTCGATTACAGTCCGGCGGGGTTGTCGGTTCACAGAGGGGCGCACTTTGATGCACCTGTGCAGTTCCTGCGGCGGCTGGACCTCTCCGAGCTGCTTACTCCCATCCCCCGGCATAAGTTGAACACTTTCCACGTGCGGATGGAAGATGATGCCCAAGTGGGCCAGGGCGAGGATCTGCGCAAGTTCATTCTTGCGGCCCTCAGTGCCAGCCACAGAAATGTTGTAAACTGTGCTCTGTGCCACCGGGCGCTCCCGGTGTTCGAACAGTTCCCACTGGTGGACGGAACTCTGTTCTTAAGCCCATCACGGACTCCATCCTCTCCCCTGCCCACTTCAGTGGTCCCCGCTCCTCGAGATACCTTGGGGAATTCTTAAACAACGCTATCCATCTGGAGCCTCACAAAAAGGCCATGGCTGGCGGCCACGTGTTCAGAAACGCCCACTTCGATTACAGTCCGGCCGGGTTGTCGGTTCACAGAGGGGCGCACTTTGATGCACCTGTGCAGTTCCTGCGGCGGCTGGACCTCTCCGAGCTGCTTACTCACATCCCCAGGCACAAGTTGAACACTTTCCACGTGCGGAAGATGATGCCCAAGTGGGCCAGGGCGAGGATCTGCGCAAGTTCATTCTTGCGGCCCTCAGTGCCAGCCACAGAAATGTTGTAAACTGTGCTCTGTGCCACCGGGCGCTCCCAGTGTTCGAACAGTTCCCACTGGTGGACGGAACTCTGTTCTTAAGTCCATCACGACACGATGAGATCGAATACGATGTTCCTTGTCACCTTCAAGGTATAGGTGTTAATTCACCTTGCCTGCTTTCTGTTTGTTAAAAACTAAAAAGCAAACAGGATGGAATTGCTGTTTTGTTCTAGTCAGGTGCTAGGTTAACATTTGAATATTCCAGCCTTGCCCAGTGAGGTGGTGATTTTTTTACTCTGATGTCACTGTACCAAGTACGGTTGTCCTGGTGGGTTATTTCATGTTTTTGTTCTGCTGTAATTTTGAAGTTCTTTGAGGATTTCTGGTGTATAATTTTTCACAATTGAGAGGAAATTTAGAGAAAGAATTGCTTAATTGTCACTTACTGTAAAACGGTGGCCTTTGAAACCTGTTTTATTGTGCCCAGAAAGTTGTGTATTCTCTTTGATCCTTGTAATCATAACAGTGAGGGAAAGAAGAGATCAGAAACGGCCAAGGTTTTAGATTAGTTGAATTAATTTTGAAATTTATGGAAGATTAAACTGTCTTGATAGCAGCAAAAGGAAAATAGATGATTACTGAAAGCTCAGACATTACCCTGGTGGTGGGGGTGGCACGGTGAAGAAGCTTATCACTATCATCATCATCATCATCATCATCATTATCTGTTATTCCTATGTATGACATATGAGGACTTGGGTACTTTTCAGCCATAAATTGAATGATGGATTGGTTGGTATAAGTGAGAGATCTGTCAATTCATGTAAAACTAGTGAATGTTCATATAAATGAGATGCATGGCATATAACATGTTTATAACCTTAAATGTGTACTTTAGAAGCCTGCAGTAAAAATGATATATCTCCACCTGCTTTCTTTCCACCAACCCCTGCTGTCTCAAACACCAGGGACAAACAAGTCAAATCTTAACTGATTCTTCAAGTTTTTAACATCATAATTTTAAATACAGTCATCCCTTGGTATCCTGGGGGATTGGTTTCAGACCTCCTTTGGATACCAAAATCCATGGATGCTCAAGTCACTTATATAAAATGATGTGGTATTTGCACGTCTTATGTACATTCTCCTATATACTTGAAATCATCTCTAGATTACTTTTAGTACCGAATATAGTGCAAATGCTATGTAAGTGGTTTTTAATGCTGTATTTAAAAAATTTGTATTTTTTATTGTATTACTATTTTTTATTGTTTTTTTTCCCCCAAATATTTTTAGTCCAAGGTTAATTGAATCCATGGATGCAGAGGGCCAACTGTACTGCTATCTTCATCCTCCAGTTTTAGATATTATTTGTTGACTTATTTTTAAAGTGGATGACTGTATATCCCCTTTCTCCTTTCTCTCACAATAATATATTACAATTCTTGGTTAAGTTTTTAATGTTGCTACTTTTGTGAGTAAGCAAATATGTATTGTTGAGCCAAGCAGTGTAGGTATGTTTCCTATTATAGAGTAATATTCTAGGGTAGCTTTTGTTTTTATTAATTGCTTCAGATTTTCATTTGCTTAGTCTTTTCTAAAACTTTGGCTAGTTCTTACTGTTCAGCAGCTTTGCAGTCACCTTTCAAAAACAATCGTACATACCCGTCAAACATGTAAAAAAATTTTTTTTCTGAAAATGTCTCTCATGAAGGCTTTCATCTTCCTTTCATCTGTCCTGGTGCACTGAGGTCCTGTCGAACTACATAGCTGTCCTTCTAGCAATGCCTTTATTTCTTTCCTGTGTCCTAGATTTCATATATTCTTTTCTCTTGGTTTATTCCTTCAATTTGTTAGGAGGCACATCCCCCAAGAGCTTTCTGAGAAAGGGAGCATGGGAATACATGATTTGAGACTTTGAAAGTCTGAGAATATCTTGATTCTGTTTTCACATTTGACTGTTATTAAGATGAGTATAGTCTTCTAAGTTATAAATATTTTGCATTGGAATTTTGAAGGCATTTCTTTACTGTCTCCTGTAGTACAATGTTTCAATTGAGAAGTGTAATACTGTTGTTATTCCTGTTCCTGCTTCCACATTCACCCTTCCTTGAAGGTTTTAAGATTTTCTCTTTATATCCCTAGTATTCTAAAATTTCACCATGATATGTGTGTGTGTGTGTGTGTGTGTTTTCATTCGTTGTGCTGTGTGTTCTCTTGGCCCTTTGACTTTATATATTTATGGTTTTCATTTTGGAGAAATTTTCTTTTGTATTGTTTCTTTGATAATTTCCACCTTTCAATTTTCACTTTCTTAAGAAAGATCTCTGTGGAACTCTTTCAGATATTGAACATCTTAGACTGATTCATTTTTTTTTTGTTTGGGCAGGGGAATCTTTTATTTTGTATGTAATTCTTTTCATCTTTCTGGAAAATTTCCTTGACATTATGTTCCAATATTTTATATTTTTAATTTCTAAGAGCTCTTCCTATTCTTGTTTCAAGGATACAATTTTTAGTGTTATCTTTCTGAGCAAAGGAAGGGAGCTGCAGTTGCAGGGAGTTGTCTTATTTGTTTTAAGAGTTTTACCTAATTCCCTCTATCTTTTAGCCCTTGTTATAAAGCAGAGCACTCCAGAACTTAGTGGTTTAAAACAGTGATGATTTAATGATTTCTTACAATTTTATGGGTTGGCTAGGATGGCTTCTCACAGTTGGCAGAGTGGTTGGTCTATAGAGCTTCAGCTGGAATGGCTCGTTTATGTTCTGTGTACTTTTTATTTTCCAGTAGGCTACCTTGGACTTTTTCATATAGCATTCAAGAGGATAAGGGTAGAAGTTGCAGGGTCTCTTTCTAGAGGCTGAAGCTTGGAACTGAGTAACATCACTTCTATTACATTTTGCTCATCAACATAAGTCCTAAGGCTTGCCCATGTTCAGAGGGTGCTGAAATACAGTTGGCCCTTCATATCTGTGGGTTCTGCATCCATGGATTCCACCAACTGTGGGTCAAAAATATTTGAAAAAAGAGTTGCATCTGTACTGACTGTGTACAGACTTTTTTCTTATTATTCCCTAAACAATATAGTATAACAACTATTTACATAGTATTTACATTGTATTCATTATTACAAGTAACCTAGAGATGATATAAAGTGTACAGGAGAATGTACATAGGTTATATGCAAATACTATGCCATTTTTATAAGGGATTTGAGCATCCTTGGATTTTGGTTATCTGCAGGGGGTCCTGGAATCAGTCCCCTGGGGTTACTGAGAGACAATTGTACTCTGCTTCTTGATGGAAAGAGTTGCATAGACTTTATGGTTATTTGTAATTTATAACACCCTACTGTTTCCCTTTCAGCACTTCATCCTACCCTCCCTAGTGCTTGCTGTCCCCTTTTGGAGCTAAAGCACTTACCATTTATCCATCCTCATATATCTTGGTTCAAGGTTCCAGGTACCTCATTGTTTCATGGAAGATGAAGTTTTTGTTTTTGTTGTTTTGTTCTTTATCCTGTTTGGGGGTCTTTTTAGAGGGAAGTAGGTAGAAATACCTTTACTTCTCCATCTTAAAACTTGAAACATTCTTTATAAAGATGAACATGGGTATAGGGTACATGAAAGTGGTAGTGTTCTTTGTTCATGGTGGACAAATTCTTTTGACATAATTCATTCGTCGATCAGTCAAACATGGATTTCACACATGTGCTGGGTACATTTATAATCTTAGGATATAAGATGCTTTTATAAAATAGAGTTAACTTTACCAGGTCTAAGTCTCTAGTGGTATGACATGTGGAACTAGTAGCACCTGGATGTTATGTATATTAAGCGTCCTGTAATTTCCAAGGAGGAAGTGGCTGCTTTGGTCTGATAGTCAGGAGGCGGTGTGAAGACATGTCAAAAGGTGGCCATGTCAGGTGTTGTTGATGAAGAGAGTAAACAACATGAGTAAAGGAATGGTGGTTTAAAAAAAAAAAAGATAGGTTGTAATCAGGAGATAGGTTGTGATCAGGGGATAGAGACCTGATTAGTTGGAGCCGGAGGTGTTCTAGATTGGAAAGTGACTAGCACAGGTACAAAACAGATTGTAGTTTCCTTTTAGACCATAATAAAGAACTTTGCCATGTGCTTTGTGATATGAGTTGAAGGGTTGTTAACACTTTTTAAAAGCAGACAATCACATGGGGGAAAAATTGTTTGAAAAGGCTGGTGCCTGGAGGCAGAGAGTTGAAGCTTTGTTTCTCTAGTCTAGCTGTGAAGAGATTAAGAGACTGATGGAAAGGAGGGAATAAATTCAAGAGGTTATTTTATTTTATGCTCTTTTTTAAAAAAATTTTATTTTGTCGATATGCAGTGTGGTTGATCATTGTGGCCCATTACCGAAACCTCCCTCCCTCCTCTCTCTCCTCCCTCCCACCCAACAATGTCCTTTCTGTTTGCTTGTCATATCAACTTCAAGGAATTGGAGTTGTTATGTCTTCTTCCCCCTCCCCATTTTGTGTGTGTGTGTGTGTGTGTGTGTGTGTGTGTGTGAATTTATTTATTTATTTTTAGCTCCCACCAATAAGTGAGAACATGTGGTATTTCTCTTTCTGTGCCTGAGTTCTTTCACTTAATATAATTCTCTCAAGGTCCATCCATGTTGTTGCAAATGGCAGTATTTCATTCATTTTTATAGCTGAGTAGTATTCCATTGTGTAGATATACCACATTTTCCGTATCCACTCATCCGATGATGGACATTTGGGCTGGTTCCAACTCTTGGCTATTGTAAAGAGTGCTGCAAGGAACATTGGGGAACAGGTATACCTTCGACTTGATGATTTCCATTCAAGAGGTTATTTTAAAGGAAAACTACAGATTTGGGGACTCTTTGATGGTCGAGGATAAAGAAGAGTCTTTGTTGGCTTACTTTTGTTCTAGACCAGATAAATGGTACTGTCACAGACAGGAGTAGAGAAAGTTGGGAAAAAGACCTGACTTTAGGGGAAAGATGAGGGCATTTGTGTGTGTTGGGTATGAAGGGATGTTGGGACTTTTGTGTGGTGATATCTAGCAAGCACTGTTAGAAATATGTATTTGGGATGAATGCTGGGGAGCTTATTTTATAAAAGTGGTGGTTAAAATCTTAGAAATAGAAGGGCTCTTCAGTGGGGAGAAAAGAAAAAGAAAAGGAAGAGGATATGATAGAGCTCAGGGCTAAATCTTGAGGGTACCTATCAACGAGTGGATGGAAAAAGAGGTGCAAATTAGATAGGCTTTAGTACTTTGTGTGTGTGTGTGTGTGTGTGTGTGTGTTTGTGTGTCTGTGTGTGTATACACATAAATATGTAATCTTATACAAATAGATAATTGAGTGTGTTAGCTGTGTACTACAAAGGTATTGAGAAGTTGAATTGTAAAATCTGGAGGTTGGGGTGTTTAATAAGTACCAAAGAAGTCATCAGTGCCACAGGGGAGGCCCTGACCATGTGGCATCACCGGGGTCTTATTTGTAGCATGCTAATGTAAATCATTTCTTCTGACAAAGTTCTGACCATGTGTTGTATAAAAGCATTTTCAACACCAATGGAAAGGCCACGATCCAGGCCAGAGGATGGCATCGTCTGCAGCTGACTACATGCTGCTGAGATACTTGCTGTTTTCAGTGGTGCGCCCTGTGGGCTGTTCCTCCTGGCCTGCCCTTTACCCTCTCTGCTCTCTCCGACCCCACTCTAGCCTCAGTTCTGACTCATCCTCTGAGAAATGATTTTAATAGTCATTGGTTTGGTTTGGTTTTAATAATTTATTAAGATAGATTTAATTAGGAATTTCTTATTGAGCTTCTTTACCACTTGAACCACATGTGATTTTTCCTCATGAATCTGCTTTTTGTTTGAACTCACAATCCAAGGGTTTAGAAATTTAAAGTTCTCTGAACTTAGGATAATGTGTAATAGTAACTGAAACAAATCTGGAGACTCAGTCCAGGCCAGGCATTCCTGTGAGTTTGCTTATAGGTTAGGAGGCACACAGGCATGAATTTTGTGGACTTTGCTACTTATTATTTTTCTGAGCTTGGGCAAGCTGCTCACGCTCTCTAAACTTCATTTTCTCCTTCCGTAGTGGGAATAACAATAATGGCTACTTTACAGTGTTGCTCTGGGGGTTAAATGAAATGATTCCAATAGAGTTTGTAGACAGTGCCAGACCCTTGGTGAGCACTCAGTCAAAGCGACTTGTGGTCTTCATCATCATGGTCATTGTTATCAACACCTGACTCTGTGCCAGCCCCTGCCCTCACCCTTCCTGGCAGCAGCCTGTGTGCCTTTGAATGTTTGAAAATTGCAGTGAGTAATTCTAGGAGGGAGACCAGAAATGAAGTGTTTTCCAGTGGCTCCTGGATACTTGAACTGACTTCCTGACATGCCCCCAGGCCACTCAGAGTGGGCATAGCATGTGAGACCTTTTTATTTTCATTGCCCCAGAACAGAGGTGGGCAGTATTACAAGAAAGTCTTGTCACTCTTCTCAATTTTGACGTAGAGGCCCCCAAGGTTATAATGTCTTTGGTTATTAACTCGCCCTGTCATAGAGTATTTTCCACATTGCAGACGTTGTGCTGGACACTGAATCTACAAAGATGAGTAAGATGGGGGTCTTGCCCTTGAGGCAGAGAGTTGTATAAGCAAATAGAATAAAAGGGTTCCTTTTAAGGAGCATAAGTGCCTTTCCAATAGAGAAAGAGCAGGGCATTTCTTACCATTGAATGGCAAAGACCCTAGTCTGATGGTAGGGAGCAGCATGTTCTGAATAAGAGGCCGCTTTGGAGTGTGGGTTCTCCTGATTTTAACACAGTGGAGCACCCTGACTCCTGCACAGAGAGCAGCCGTGTTGCTCTTATAGATTGTCCAGACAGATCCTGGAATTTGACTCTTTCCTGATTATTGGAACTCTGACCTTTCCATATAAACTAGGGGACATCTTTCCTTTGTAAGCATTAATATATTGATAAGTAATGCAGGAATGGGGTTGTCACTTTTAAGAGCCCAGTAAATAATAAGACATTGAACTCCTTTTAAAAAAATCACAAGTAAGATATAATTCTGGTTTCTCTCTTTTTTTAAAAAAAAAAAAAAAGATGACCGGTAAGGGTATCTTAACCCTTGTCTTGGTGTTGTCAGCACCACGCTCTCCCAAGTGAGCTAACTGGCCATTCCTATATAGGAATCCAAACCCGTGGCCTTGGTGTTATGAGTACCACACTCTTCCAAGTGAGCCATGGGCCAGCCCCTATAATTCTGGTTTCAAAATTAGATGTGGTGATGGCTGACCAATTTTAGGGACAAGAACAGTTAACACAGTAATTTTGGCTGTGGTATAATTCTGGGCTATCAATACCAAGACAGACTTTTGACTTTTTTATGATGGGACTTGTCAGTGGGTGAGAGAGCCCATGACAAGACCAATGTTGTTGATTCAGTCTGTGTGCCACACATAAACTTCTGAGCAGAAAGTACTGCATGCTCATGGTTTTGAGCATGTGTGGCTTTGTTATTTTAACTAGGATGGATATATGATATAAACCACCTTTTTTTTTTTAGTAAAGTAAATTGAAACAAGTATTTAATAAGCTTGAACTTAAAGTACATGTCTTATTGACAATAGTAACTTGTCATTCTAAAAGGACAGCTTGGGGATATGTAATAGATATCATCTATTAAGGTTTTTTTATACTTACCCAAATGATAGAATGTTTACTTTTAATTGGTAGATGAGGCATTTTTTAATCCCTTTTGGAGATAAGACATGATTTCCATGATGGCCAATCTCAGCCTTGTGTCTTCTATGCACAGGGAGACTCATGCACCTGTATGCGGTGTGCGTAGACTGCCTGGAAGGGGTTCACAAGATCATCTGCATCAAGTGTAAGTCGCGCTGGGATGGCAGCTGGCACCAGTTGGGCACCATGTATACCTATGACATACTGGCCGCCTCACCTTGCTGTCAGGTTGGTATCAATACGACTGAGGGAGTAGTGGGTGATATTACACTTCTGTTCCCAAGTGAATGTAGTGGAGAAAATGCTTCTGACAGTAAAGAAATTCAGTCATAAAACTCCCTCAGAGTCCAGCAATGAAAGCTAACTTACTACATTGTGATATAGCCAGTTAGTAGAATATTAAGTCATTAAAAGGGATATTGTAGAATAATATATAATTGTGTGGGAAGTATTTCCAGTATACTGAGTCAAAAAAAAAAAAAAGGCTATAAAATGGCATAATATACTTCCATTTGTAAATAAGTGAGGAAAATGGACCTGCTAATCTGTTACTACATGGTTACAGAAACTACAGATGCTGAGTAGTTTCTTTAGTTTTCTTTTTGCTTGCTTTTATAATATTTTGTATGATTAGCTAATATTGTATTTCTAATAAGAAATCATTATTTGAAAGGAAGAAGAAAGTTTCACTTTCTTTAATAGACAGGGTTTTCTTGTTTCCTCTCTGTGGAATAGAGCAGTTATCTAGGAGTTGCCTGTGTTGTAAGGTATTTGAGATCGACTGAAAGATTTGTAATCCTTAAAGCACTACTAAGAGGTGGTACTATTTGTTGCTGAGAGAGCATCTGAAATTTAGCTGTGATCCAGAAAAGAGGGAAATGTTAACATATGAAAACACATTAAATTAGTCCATAGAAACACAGGAGACAAAAATCCTTGGATATATCTTGCTTTATTTCCAAGTGCTTGCAGAAAAAAAAGATCTTGCTATATAATTCCTTGATATTCATGGGTAGGAGAGAGATTTTCTTTTGTTCTTTAGCACCTAAGCCTGGCTTTTAATACCAATAATTGATATGCACTTCATTAGTTACTATGTAGTTTTGTATCTTTAGCATTATGGCTTGATTTTTGTAAAGATACTTTCCTTATTATTATCAGTTTACTCAGAAGATGACCTATATCTTTTGAATTGAAAGGTGGTCAGAGTTCGTATTTCAGCTATATTTTGTCTATCCTAATGTTTCTCAGGAAATAAGTATGGTTGTGAGAGACCTAACTGGTCATCCATAGCTCATCCTTTGATTCCAGTTAGGATTGACTAATTTTACACTATTCTGATGCAGCAACCATGTTTTCCTTTTTAAACTTAGCCTTGGAAATGAGATATCATAGTCTTCTAGTTATTCACTGTAATATGTTATGATAGTTATTGTGCCTTAATATTGTGCTTCTCTCAGCTCTTGAGATGAGAGAAACCAGAGGAAGTGGCTACCCTCTCTGCACACATACCACAGAAGGTTTTTTAAGTTAAAGAAATAAGGAAGTGAAAGAATGTTGGGTCTGTTAACTCATAGAATGTAGCACTGGAAGAGGCCTAGAAGGTACAATTCAGCCTCCTTATTTTCCACATACAATGGAGGACCTAAAAATTTGAATGTTTTACCCAGGTCTACACAAATTATGTCACAGCCATGACTAAAACTTATAATGCCCATTGTAGTGTTCCTTCTACTGCACCATTGAAAATGGGATTATTTCCATATCTTTAAGGAGAAAAACAGAGTAGGATCCTACCACACCCAGTCTATTTGTACTCACTATGTATTTCTTCCTTAAAACAATTTCAGCCCAGGCCTTTATTTTCCGGCCCCCTAGTGAAATGGAAAACATGTTTGATTATTGTTTATTATTTTTAAAAATCAGTTGAAAATGCTCACTGTGAGAATACAAGTGTCAGACACTACTAAGGAATCAAGGGAAGTCTTCCAATAAGACTGAGCCAAAAATAAGCAATAATTGGTTATTAGAAAGGAATAACATGTTAAAGAGAGGTTTGCTCAGAATCTTTTAATGTTGTTCAGAGAGATTAAGTAGCTAAAAGGGAGTTTATCTGAAGTTATAGAAAGGTAGTTCAGGTAATGAGTAAGAGTGTGGACTTTGGAGCAGCTACTTTGGTTCAAATCCCAGCTCTTCCGCTTTCTAACTGTGTGACCTTGGGCATAGAACTTTATCAGTGTGTGTCTCAGTTTCGTCATTTAAAATTCAGATAATACTACCTACCTCGCAGGAGTGTTCTGAGGACAAATTGAGATTATACTTTATTATATTTTTAGAATGAATCTAAATTGGGAATCTGTTTCATTTGTAATTTCTGGCTATTCACTTAAGTATTGGATCTATTGCTAAAAGGCTCTAGAATTATGCTGTTAAAGTGAGAAAGTGAGGCCCAAGCATTGTGCTTGTGAGTTCCAGAGGCCTCAGGATAAAAACAGTACTTCTTCCTGGACTGCTATTTTAGTTGAATATTTTAAGGAAATTTTATTTTTACATCAAAGAAAACACAAATGTCTTATGGAGTAGAGTGAAAAATGGATATGATTTAAAAAAATAAACCCAGAATCTTCAAAGAAACTTCAGGTGGGTTTGAGTGAGGGAAGTCAGCTTCAGCTACTCTTTCAAAAGCCAGGGAGAAGAGATTCCTATTGTTAGGGGAAATTTAGTGGAGATGTTTCGACAATACTAGTTTAGGATTTCCTTTTCACTAGTAGGTAAAACAACTAGTAGTGCCTGCATATCAGGAGAGAAATTGGGTGTCTTTCAGACTGATGACGAATATTTGAATATTTATCTTATGCTTTGCATACCCTATTTTGGTAATAAAAGGGACGCTTTACTAAATTCTTGAAAGTTTCTCAGCATTTCGGTTTGGGTGACTTTCGCAGGCGTCACGGAGCTGAAGGGTATTGTGACTTACTTTGTCTGTGTTTCCCTTAGGCCCGCCTGAACTGTAAGCACTGTGGGAAGCCTGTGATCGACGTGCGGATTGGGATGCAGTACTTCTCTGAGTACAGCAATGTCCAGCAGTGTCCACACTGTGGGAACCTGGACTACCATTTTGTGAAGCCATTTTCCTCCTTTAAAGTTCTTGAAGCTTATTGATGAAAGCTTTGCTTAGTAATAGCTATTTTATTGATATTGTTACTTTATTACATATCTTTTATAGGGAACCATTCTGTGACATTAATTTCTTTTCTAATTTAAAGGAGAGTTACTTTGTGTATATGTGCCACTAAAAGGGGACTGTCCCTTGCCCTGTCTTGATTCCCAAGTGTTAGTCTGTGGTCATGACCAGATCTCAGATGGGTGATCCTATGAGTTTGGGTAGGGGTTCACTCTCATTAAGAGTCTCTGATGCAGCTTTAAGGTGGTGGGGAGGATGGCACAAATTTAGGAAAGGAATTGTGTGGTTATAAACTAAAAGTGTGGTAGGAGTTGGGAGGAAACTCTTACTAAAATGTTAACTTTCTAAAGACCCACTTTTAAATCTTCCCTGGGCCTCGGGAAAAATATGTGACAAGTGAATGTAAGTCTGTGCCTGGAGAGCTAATAGTGTGTTAGTCTATTTCAGCTTAGCGTTCTGCAGCACACATTGACATAAAGTTTACTTTGAGTGACAGATGATTTGAAAGTGGGTAGAAGTGCTGTTTCTATCATTTGTTGTAATTTAAGTCAAATTTTCATACTGAAAATAATATCCAAATGATAAGACATATGAAAGCTGTTGGTGTTGCAAATATTTTTAGGTAAGCTGACCTAGAGCAGAATATATGACTTGAATTTGAAAATGATGCATGCTGACTCAAGAGGGCAAAAAGGCAGAACTCTGTCATTTGAATTGTGTTTTTGAAGTTGGTCAAAATAGCTCTTAGGGAGAAGTCATGAATAACATGATTTGGGTGGTGGTAATTTATACAGGTTGCACTGTTGAAGTGCCACCTGGTGTCAGATCCTTCTCCCAGGTAAATCTCACAGCCCCAGAACCTAACTGGAGAGCTTCAGAGTCAATCATTACCATACTTAGCTTCCTCTAAATTTCTTATGGCCGTGTTTAACCCAGGTAATACTGAGTTTCCAAAAGCAAAGATTTGACATTAGGAGGGAAAGGAAAGAAATTGTTTGAGAGGATGATGAAGAAAAGAATAGTAATTTAAATATTTCTTTTTAAAAGTGTATTTTATTTTGAAAAATCAGTGATCATAATACATAACAGTATGTTTAAAATAAAATAGGTCATTATAACAATCCCCATGATACCTTACTGTTGGTGGAAAAAGATAACATATAGAACTTGATTAGTCAGAGCATTGGACATTCCAAAATACAGCCTTCTGTTTATTAGATCTTGGTGATTTAAATAGACCAATACACCATATACTTATAGAATTGGAACTGGAATATGGTTTCTCAAAAATGAGTTTGACAATTTTATGTATGATATACATATATGCTAAAAGAACACTGAAAATATAATTATTTTATGGATAGCCAAAATTGGGGTTGATGTGAACCTTTTATATTACTCATTTGGTTTATACCATTTTTTTTCTTAGTGTAGCTTTTCTTTTCATAAGTGTTTAGGCATTATTGAAAGTGAGTTTCAGTTCTACATGAAATATTTGGTGTTTTGTTTGAAACAATGCAGCATTGAAGAATTGATGCATTGACTAATATTTTTTGTCTTTCTGTTTGGGTGATTGTTATTTGGTTTGCTGCATCTAGTTTTGTGTTTGATGATCTGAAAGATATTTCACAGTGGGGGTAGATACTCAAAATGCCTTTAAGAAGCAGAAAATCATTATTGGTCTGACAGTGTTTGCTGCAACTAAAAGAGGTCTACAGGACATAGCCTCTTGCAAATTTGTCTTTAATACACAAAGCTGTAATTGTGAATTAGCTCTTTCCCTATTGGTTCTCTTATATACCCAAGTATAAAAATTGGTAAGTTTCTCTTCAGAGTACCATTTGGATTTTCTTTCTTTTTTTTTTTTTTTCCTTTTTGTCTTTTTCCGTGTCCGGCAACGGATCGCAACCCTCAGTGTCGCCCCTGCACCGGACTGGGACCAGCAACGGGATTGCAACCCTCGGTGTTGCTCCTGCGCCTCGCTCAGCCAGTGAGCGGGAACCGGTCTGTATGTGGGATCCGAACCCTCGGCGCTCGGAGCGCCGCCGCACTTCCCAAGCAGCGCACTGTAGCAGTGTGCCACCGGGCCGGCCCTGGATTTTATTTCTGAATTTAAAATAAATAGTAAAATATTTGTAATGCTGGTCTTTAACACACCTAAATTTTTATAGTGAAATCTGCTTATATTGTTCTGAAGCTTAAAGTTGACCTATACATTGCACTCAGTAAACTTAGTTTAAAACTGCTGTGGGTGTAGTGTATACTGCATTTTATTTTTTGTCCTTAGATTGTTTTTTATACCCTGAAAAATAAGTTTGATGAGGTTTTACTGCAATTGGGTAAAATTTGCTTTTGGATGTGATTTTGATGATAAAGTTAGGATTCTATGGATGTAAGTAGTTATGTAAAAAGAGAGGCATGAGTATCATACCTGAGAACATCTTTTGCCTTTAAGGCATTATATTCTTTTCTAAAAGGGAAAAAGTGACTTATTTGAGAATAAAATATAATTGAGTATGCAGCACTATAAAGATAAATCTTATTTTGGAAATCTGCTGACCTTAATATTTTCCCTAAGCTTGCCTTGAGTACATTGATCAGATTTAGAATATGTCAAGAAAGATTATTATTTTTGTTGTGGTTAGGATATTAAAGGATATTGGTCACCCAAGAGATCCAATTTCTGTTTTCCTGATGAATAGTGTTCAGTAATGTGAAACAGTCTTAAGAGTGGCTGGCTAATAATTTCCAAATGATTTTTCATCTACTCAACTTTTTTTTAATCATTTATTTTTAAGAATTCTGTACCTTGAAGATAAAATTATCTGCTTTAGTTTAGTGAGAAGACAATTTCTGATTTATTATTGTCTCTTCAGGCCATCTCAGCTCTCCACTCTTCTGGTTACATCTGAAAGCAGTTGATATACTGGGTTTATACCTTAAAAGGTAGACATTGTGCCATGAAATTGGGGAGTTGGGTGAGTTATCCCATTCTAATTACAAAGCAGCTTTCCCCAAACACCCTTTAATATCTAGTTTTTGTGAAAGAAGTTCATTTTCTGAATAAAAGGTATTTTCATATCTGTTTAGGGCAAATTAACTCATCAAGAAAGAAAATTATTAGATATTTAAACCCTAGGACTACCAGATAGACTGATTCGTAACTTATTGACCACCAGAGCTAACTTGCTGAAATCTTTCATTTAGTCCTGCAAGACCAGTGTTTACTGTGCAGTCTTCTCCTGTGCCCAGGTCAGTAACTCCAGTTTGCTTTTCTGTTTACTCCCCTGGCAGCAGCTGTTGAGTTTAATTTTAGTTGGAGGATGGGGAGGAGGTGAGGAGAAAGTGCTCATGCTTAGTGTTTTGTTTGCTATCATAGAACACTGCCTAACCCAGTTCATCTCCATGTCCTGGTGACTTCATTATTATTACATGTAATTGAAAGCAAATATAATGGATGGGCACCACGAAAACAAGCTCAAAAATATATTCTTGTCACTAATGATTTCTTGTCAAGATGTCTTGGATTGCACTTTTGTTGAGGGAAGATAGTGTAAATAGTTAAAGAATGTGGATAAAATTGAAACATTTGGTTGTGGAATTGTGTGTGTTGTTAGAGGGTTTCTGTTTGTGAAATGTATGTATTAAAAACAATAAAATTTCAGAAACTAACATTGTACTCTCTTTAGTGTGTCACTATTTTTTTGTTGGGATTTTTGAGCTTTGGGATTGGTCAGAAAAGATAGAGAATGCTTTCTGAGGTTTTGATCACTAGTCAGGTAACTTTCAAAGTCACTACTGCAGCTAATAAAAACTACAAACTTTTTGTGCTGCTTGAAAATTGTGTTCACATGTAAACTCTCTTTGCAACAAAATTAGCATTCTGTAAAACAAAGTTGATTCATATGGATAATCCAAAAGTATTGTCCTGGTTATAGGAAATTCTACTAAATAGTGTTAAAAAAAAAGCAAAAATGGAGGCTACTGTTTAGATATACCCCAAGGCCATCCACCCATAACCATGCAGCCAAAACTTGTCATCCTGATTTCCCCCAAATGCTAGCTCTAACCGTAAATAAAACACAAAATGTAAACTGTACATGCTTGTCAGCATGATTTGATGGAATTAAACCAATCAGCTCTAGACAGATCAACTTAAACTGCTCAACTCGCCTTAAAAAGAATGTTAATTTATAACAGCCAGTCATAAAGAGGACAAAATACTTTGTCTATCTGCTTTATAAATGTTGCTGTAACTGCTGTGAGTGGGGATTCTTGCCACTTTTGATTTGAGGCCTCCCAGTTTGCCAACTGTTCTTTCGTATGCACAATAAATTTCTACAATTTTAAAAATAACCTGATTTTATTTTATTTTATTTTTTTTTCCTTTTTGTCTTTTTTTGTGACCGGCAACGGATCGCAACCCTCAGTGTCGCGCCCGTACCGGACCGGGACCGGCAACGGGATCGCAACCCTCGGTGTTGCGTCCGCACCTCGCTCAGCCAGTGAGCGGCTGGTCTGTATGTGGGATCCGAACCCTCGGGGGAGCGCCGCCGCGCTCCCAAGCGGCGCACTGTAGCAGTGCGCCACCGGGCCGGCCCCCTGATTTTATTTTATTTATTTATTTTTTTTTTATTTTTATTTTTTTTTTTGTCTTTTTGTCTTTTTTCCGTGTCCGGCAACGGGTCGCAACCCTCAGTGTTGCCCCCGTACCGGGCCAGGGACCGGCAACGGGATCGCAAGCCTCTGTGTTGCTCCCGCGCCTCGCTCAGCCAGTGAGCGGGAGCCGGTCTGTATGTGGGATCCGAACCCTCGGGCGGGAACGCCACCGCGCTTCCCAAGCGGCACACTATCCAGTGCGCCACCGGGCCGGCCCCTGATTTTATTTTTGATAAATAGATAATTCTGTTCTGCAAAATATTTTTTGGTTCCTAGTCCTATAACAATTTTCATAATGAAAGGACTTGATTGTATGTATCTTAATTACAAGCAAAGTGAAAACTGAGTTGTAATTAAACTTTTTGCTGACATTATGCACTGTGATCAGTTACATTTTATCATTGTGATCTCTGTCTGCTTTATTTCAAATATCATTCTCAGCCAACAGATCGAAATCCACAAAAACATTAGAACATGGGATAAGATGTGGCAACAGAATAAAGAATGAGTCTCCCATCTGCCTGTGGATTCAAAGCCTGTGTTGCCACTTATTTACTACAGGTATCTGAGGCATACATTTTATTTAAAGGCTTAAGGACTTGGGATATTGTAATTCTAACTTATGTAATTTATGTCAATGAAATTCCTTTGCACTTTTAAGGAAAGTACAGTTCTTATTGCAGTAGGAAAAAAAAGTTGAAACTGATCGATAAGAATTAAGTTTAATGGAAGAAAATTTTTATATGTTCTTAGTGTTTTCCACTTCTTTAAATCTTGCTTGTATTGTTAGACTTAAATTTGGCAAATTGGGCAGCAATTAGATTGCTAATTGTGTAGGCTGTTTACATGGGTCTCGACTGTGCTCCCCCTCCTCCTACCCTATTACTTTTCCCCTTTCCTTCTCCCTCTCCCCCTCAACTGCTCCACAACAATACCTTAGAATGTAAACAAATAATAATAAGTTTTTTTAAAAAAAGTTAAATTTTGGAAGGGAAGAAAAAGCTTGTGTTGAGCTTTTGTTCTTTTCCTATTCTGTCAGCTCCCCACACTGGCATAAACCTTAATGAATGTGAAATATCTTTGAATCAGTGAAGTGCTGTACACATGTAATATTTGAAATAATAATAACGTGTTTAAGGCATATTTTTCTTGTAGTAGAAACCTTTAGCATTGTGGTAATTATATAAGTTTGGCATTGCTACACCTCAGGGACTACAAGAGTTAAAGTACTCTGTCTCA